TAAAATAGTATTTTCATGTATTGATTTATTATTTTTACCATAAACTCATAGAATATATTTAATTTGGAGTGATAAAATTAGTATTAATTTGATGGTACAATTAACGTCGAAAGAGAATATTTATTTTAGGACGATTTTCATATGCATTTTTTGTTGTTCCACTAATTTTAACGTTGAAACCTTAACCAAAATCTCAAATAATTACTATATTTTACTTTAATTGATTCAATTATATCAATATGTTATTTTAATACTTCGTGACAATCTTCCTCCCACCCCCAACCCAAAAAAAAGGAAAATAACTAATTTGAATTTTTCTACATTGAATCTAGTACTAAAAGTATTATGAGCATTTTTGGACGGTACAGATCCCATCATTTTAAAGTTTGGTAAGTGCTTGTTTTTTGGTACAACTTTGGTATGTATTTATTATTAAATAAATTATTAAAACTTAAAACCAAGACCTAAAAAAATAAACAAACTCGTTAAAATGCTTATCCTCCAACTCAGCCACCCATATAATTAACTTCTGGTAAGAAAAATTTTCTTAAAAAAAATGTCATATAATCCATCGAGATCCATTTTTGCTTATTATTAAGATTTTTGAACGGTTCAGATTCACTTAAATTATTTATTGAATTCACCATGTGTATAGATATAAATAAATGAATCTCAATATTTTTCATAAAAAAGAAAACCATATTCTACTCACTATATGGATGATCTATCATCTTCTTCATTGTCACTCTTTCAAGACTTCATTCCACTCCTCGTAGCAATACTTGCTGTTCTTCTCTTCACCTTAGTAATCTGTTATCAATGGCTCAAATACGGAACGTTGTTCCCTCCGTCCTCCTCCGGGGATGTCAGTGGTTTAACGACAACAACGGCGGAGACCCGGTCCCGCCGCCACACACATGGTTTAGACGAGGCAGTTATAAACATAATTCCGTCATTTATCTACTCTACTAGTACTCATTACAATGAACAGAAAGAATCTTCACGTGAGTGTGCTGTTTGCTTGGTTGAATTTAAAGACGATGATTACGTTCGTACTCTTCCTCTTTGTTCCCATACGTTCCATCTCCGTTGTATTGATACTTGGCTTCGTTCACACCCTAACTGTCCTCTCTGTCGCTCATGTGTTAGCTGTGGTTTGTCGGAGTCGCCTTTCAGACCTCTCATGTCCGAGAGAATCGGCCCCTCTGTTGTTACATCGGCGGCGACGCAGATCGCCCTCCCCACTTTCCCAATACGAGAATCGCTTTAATTTGGGTTTGAGCGGAGTTTGTCAATGGAGAGTAGTGTGCATTCGGGGTTCTTAGCTGTGGCTTCAATTTTGTATTCTAAGGTATAATAATAAACAAAAAATTCGTGGCACTCGTTTTTTTTTTAATATCATGTATTATATTCTGCTTATTCATTGTTTTCTCTTTGTTTTGTTAAATTTTGCATAGCTTATAAACTAAATTGAAGTTATTATTACTTCTGATGAAGTTTTTTTTTGTTACAATTTTATTTATCTGGATAATCATGAATGTAATAAATGGATCCACGTACCTTTGATAAACTTCATCCTAGAGAATTTATCATATAAGGTTCACAAAACTATAATTTTTCGACCTTGTCACCACACAGTAGATTTTGTTTCGACAATTCAACCAAGCCTCTTTCATTGACATGGCCAAGTCTCTTATGCCATAGCTCAGTTTTCGACATATATTTTGTGGATGCTACATCTGCTGAACCACTTTCAACCTCAACCTCAAGGGTATACACACCTTATTTCTTCACGCTTCTCAAGACTTCCTTCGACCCATTCATTATCCTTAGGATTCTTTGCTCTCCCTTAAAAACATATCATTTCTTGTCGAATTCACCAAGAGATATAAAATTCCTCTTAAGATCAAATATATACCTAACATCAGTCAATAGCCTTATTGACTCATCATGAAGCTCGAATCTAACAGATCCAATAACTGCAATCTTATAGGCTTTATTATTTCCCAACAACACTAATCCACCATCTTGATCACATAATTCCTCAAACACGTCTTTGTTTGAAGACATGTGCCAAGTACAACATAAATCCATAATCCGCTCCTTGCTAGAGTCGCTGCTTGAAACCACCAGAACATGAGATGATTCATAACCATCTTACAGAATAGTTGCATTACCATTATCATTTCCACCATGATTATTTAGTCAATCAAGACACACATTTCTTGCATGACCCTCCTTCTTACAATGATAACACTTGTGCTCTTTTATTTTATTCAGGTCCTTAGAGTACAAGGTTGATTGAACTTCATCAAAGGTTAATGAATCTCTTTCATACAAGAGAGTTTCTTTGAAATGAGCATGAGACTTAGGTAAAGCACACAATGACATATTTGCTTGATCTTCATCGTCAACCTTTACCTCAACATTTTCAAAATCAAGAATCAACTTGTTGAACATATCCAGCTGCTCAGCCAAGGCTTTGTCTTCACTCATCTTGAGCGAATACAAAGTTTGCTTTAAGTAGAAACGATTGACCAACGATTTCGTCATGTACAAACCTCTGAGTTTCATCTATACACCAGCTACAGTTTTCTTCATTGAAACCTGGCGGAGAACCTTATCACCAAGGCTCAATATGATGGCACTGTGGGTTTTTTCAATCATCATCGTCTTCTCCTTCTCCGTTAGGGAAACATCCATCTTCTCTGATTCTTTCAACGCTTCTAACAAACATTATTAAATCATTAGGGTTTGCATCTTCAAGCGCCACAAATCAAAATCATTTACACTAGTGAATTTCTCAATCTCATACTTTGTTGGCGGCATCTTCTCCTCCACGCTCATTGCACCAGTTTGTTGCGAATCAATATCGTAACAAACAAATCAAAATATGAGAAAGATTGAGTTTCTTGAACAAACACGAGAAATCATATTAGGTTTTAGAAAAGAGATGGAAGAAGAAAGAAGAAGAATACTAAGAATTGGTTATAAATGTTTTTCTATTCACTTTCTTTATTAGGATTAAAAAATTACAAGTGAATATCAACAATCAAACTCTCTTAACAACATGAGAGAAACATTCTATTTATATACTACTAAACTAACTTAAGCAACAAGTTAACTTAAAGGCTTAATACCTCTTTTGGTCCTTAAACTTTAGTCAATGTTTCTCTTTGGTCCTTAAAAAAACGTTACATAGTGGCTATATACTACTAAACTAACTTAAGCAACAACCAAACTTAAAGGCTTATACTTCGTTACATATTTTAGTCATTTTCGTTAATTTTTGGTGAAAAAACGTTAAACTTTGATTAGCGGGACATTTAGTTGCTGAGTTGGAATATTTATTTATTTTATATTGATTAAAATATTACACATTTGACCAAGCTAGTGGCACAAGAATCATCCCTCTCCGCAGAAGTTCAACACTCTCTCTCATGAGATAAACTCTTTCTTCCATTTCTTCTTCTTCTTCTTCTCAATTTTCACTTCAACCTTTAAACCTTCATCAACTTTTTCAACATTTTCTCCTCTAAGATGCAGAACAAACTCAAAATTTCAAAGATTGAAAAACTTTACCCTTTATGTTCTCATGGAAGATCCAAAACAGGATACCTAAATGAAAATTGATGAAGAAAAAAAACACTCATTTTAGTTGTGTCACTGAAAATAAAAGAGAAATTAGCAAGAAAAATTAAGAGAAATTGGAAGAAAAACAACCACTTTACACCAATTTCATCCTCCCTCTCTCAATAAACCTCAACAATTACAAAACCAAGCATCAATTTTTTCAACCTCTAAACTTTCATCAATTTTTTCAACCATAAACCGTCGTTACAAACCTTTATTTCCTCACCTCCAAAAACCAAAGCCAACACTTATCTTTTCCTCTCTAAGATGCAAAACAAACCCAAAATTTCAAATTTTGAAAAAACTTTACCCTTTGTGTTCACATGGAAGATTCAAAACAAGATACCAAAATAAAAATTGAAGAAAAAAATAACCACCCATTTTAGTTGTGTCACAGAAAATGGAAGAGAAATTGACAAGGAAATGATGTTGTTGTAAGTTTCAATCTTCAATTTTCTTTTAGTATTTTGGAGAAGAAAATGGAAGGAGAAGAAAATGAAAGATGAAGAAAATATGGATGAACATTGTAAATGAAAGATGGAACCCATGAATCCTAGAATGTTTTTAACACAGAAACTGAATGTTGAACATACCATTTGCTTACCTGGCATGTCATCTCAGCCATAATTAACATTTTTCCACACGAACTAACGATATGGACCAAATGATTTAACGAAAGTGAAGTTAAGAGATCATTATGTAATATTTTTTAGTTTAGGGACCAAAGCGAAACTTCGCTCAACATTAAGGGACCTAGGGACTAATTATGTCTAACTTAAACAATTGGTCTAACAAGCTGGGTCAATTTAATATGCTAACCTAAATACTAAGCTAATTTATTTCGACAAACTAACTAATACATCTGCATACAAGAACAGACTTCAACTACGACATACATATCTTCGACTTTGAATTTGCTATGACACTACCTTATAACCCATAAGCTCCCTATGTTAGTTTAAAATCAATTTCAAAATAATAATGTTGTTCAATATAAATATAAATGGTCATTAATTAATTTGTTTTAGAAAAGGAATGGTTGGAAAACAATGACCCATTGATATAGAAATATATATCAGTTTTGTTAAGTTAAATAAGTTTGAACATGTGATATTTAATTCTGGCCTAATATTCATAAATAAAATCAAGTATAGAAATTGTAACTTTTCTCAAAAGATGGATGAAAATTGAATGATAACATGTGATATTATAAAATATAACATCCATATCCATATATTCAATTAAAAAAAGTGATGAACATGACGTGGCATCAACTTTACTATTATATTTAATCTTCATAGATCATATCATTATTGATCCAATCCTTAAAAAAGAAAAAAACTTACGTGACAGAGAGGAGAAAGAAAATGGCAATCGCAGTATCAAGTAGACAATTATTCATAGATGGAGAGTGGAGAACTCCTATCCTCAACAAAAGGATTCCAATCATCAATTCTTCCACTGAATACATCATAGGTACCTTAAAACATCTCATCTTACATTGCAATATATTATCACTTTTTAATCTTTCTATTTTTTATAACAATTTGTGATATGATATGATTATTTAAGTTCTATCTTCTAAGTTATGTGCATGGTTGATACACATGCAGGAGATATACCTGCTGCTACTAAGGAAGATGTTGATCTCGCTGTAGACGCTGCTAAAAGAGCCATTTCCAGAAACAAGGGTAGAGATTGGTCTACTGCTTCTGGCTCTCTTCGTGCTCGCTACCTTCGAGCCATTGCTGCGAAGGTTCTAATTCTAGTTTCTATTTTTGTTCTTCATGGATTACAGAAATAATTGTGGATTTCTTGTCCTTTTTCCTGTTCCTTTGTCACAGATAAAAGAGAAAAAGAATGAACTAGGGAAGCTAGAATCAATTGACTGTGGAAAACCGCTGGATGAGGCACTAGCGGATCTGGTAATTAGTATTTGACTATTTGTTATTGAAAAAATATGTTACAATTCATTTTTTTCTTACATAGGATTGGACCTGTTGTGGTTTGATTATCTAGGATGATGTTGTTGCTTGTTTTGAGTACTATGCTGGGCTTGCTGAAGGGTTGGATTCAAAGCAAAAGGCTCCTATATCTCTTCCTATGGATACCTTCAAAAGCTATACTCTCAAGGAGCCTATTGGTGTTGTTGCATTAATTACTGCATGGTATCTTCTTTTTCTTCATTTTAGTAGCTTATGAATATTTTTGTTTCTGTAACCAATGTGATTCATGTTAATTGTTATATATTAGGAACTATCCTCTCTTAATGGCAACTTGGAAAGTTGCTCCGGCTCTGGCTGCTGGTTGTGCTGCAATATTGAAGCCGTCTGAATTGGCATCTGTGTATGTTAATGTTCTCATCAACTATTACAAAGCTGAGCAATATTTGTTAAGTTGATATATCATGTTTTCTTATGGTTTATAATTTTAGGACCTGTTTGGAGTTAGGCGAAATATGCAAAGAAGTTGGGCTTCCTCCTGGTGTTTTAAATATTATCACTGGATTAGGCCATGAAGCCGGGGCTTCTTTGGCATCCCATCCTGATGTAGATAAGGTTTGAAACTTGTAATAGTTTTAGTCATTTGTTGAATCAAAACTATGTAAGAAGCTAGATCTTGTTCTATATCTCGCAAGTTTTGTTATCTTGATGTTTTTGAGTTTCCTAAGATATTGTACCATTGTGCCCTCTATTTTGATAGATTTCTTTTACTGGGAGCTCAGCAACTGGGAGCAAGATTATGACAACTGCGGCACAGTTAGTCAAGGTATGCAAAGAAAAGATAGGAACCTTTCTGTTTTTTCTCTTTTCGTTACTATTGTTATTAATCTCTCCTTTTGTGATTTCTTGTGTGCAGCCTGTTTCACTAGAGCTTGGTGGAAAGAGCCCGATCGTTGTTTTTGAGGATGTTGACCTTGATAAGGGTTGGTGTACCTTCTCAAATATGTATTTATGGAATCACATTTTCTTGCATTTTGGCATCACATTGTATGAACAGCCCATATTTTGATTTCTTGTACTACGAATTTTGGGCATCTGAAACATATGGCGTGATCCAAAACATTTGATCATATGCGGTATCTAATTTGTTGATCTGTCCTCCATCATTCAACAGTTGCAGAATGGACTGTCTTGGGCTGTTTCTTTACTAATGGCCAGATATGCAGCGCAACATCTCGACTTATTGTGCACGTAAGTTATAGACACTCTTAAGTTCCCCGTTAGTAAAGAAATTAATGTTCATGTTCTATTACTGGCAAAATTGAACCAAAAATCACCATAAACATGTTCATAAATATGCATTTGTAGCTTACTTTTACTGTTTCAGGAAAGTATAGCTGTAGAATTTGTGAATAAACTTGTCAAGTGGGCCGAAAACATCAAAATTTCGGATCCGTTGGAAGAGGGTTGCAGGCTTGGACCTATAGTCAGTGAAGCACAGGTATGTTTTCTGTTTATCAATTCTGCATACATGAGATATTACTTAAGTTACCACTTGATGTTAAAATCACACATTAGTTATTTGTAGAGTGATTATGATTTTTCTTATATGATTTAGTATAAGAAAGTATTGAATTTGATCTCAACGGCTAAGAGTGAGGGTGCAACAATTTTGACCGGTGGGCGTCGACCCGAGGTATGATTATACCCTGGAATGTGGGAGCATAGTTTAGTTTTTCTCCATTTGTCATGAGAAACTATAATATATTTTTCCAAATTCAATGGCAGCATTTAAAGAAGGGATATTTTGTTGAACCAACCATAATAACCGACGTGACTACCTCAATGCAAATTTGGAGAGAAGAAGTCTTTGGACCTGTACTCGCCGTGAAAACATTTAGCACCGAGGAAGAAGCTATTGATCTAGCAAATGACACTCAGTGAGTTTGTTGAACTGATATTAATTTCACTTCTGAACCATCTTTTTTCTTCAATTGAGGATTGATGTGAATGCTACAAACTTGATATTTCACAGCTATGGTTTGGGGTCTGCTGTAATGTCAAATGATTTAGAAAGATGCGAGCGTCTATCTAAGGTGAGACTAATCCAAGATATTATCATCAGATAAAACAACAAAATTATTAGATTTCTACTAACTTGATGGTTTAAACTTTGTATTGATTTTTGCAGGCTTTTCAAGCTGGAATTGTATGGATTAATTGTGCTCAGCCAAGCTTCATTCAAGCTCCATGGGGAGGCATTAAACGTAGCGGCTTTGGCCGCGAATTAGGAGAATGGTATGAACCTTTGATTCCTAAAATCGGCAATATGTATTTAATAAGAAATCTGAGAAGTGGAGTCTGAATTCTTGTTATTTTCTGATCAGGGGACTCGAGAACTACTTGAGCGTGAAGCAAGTTACTAGGTATATATCGGATGAGCCTTGGGGCTGGTATCAATCACCTTCAAAACTGTGATAGTTAAGCATGTAAAGTGATGATAAATATGATTTCTAAAATCTGGCATGGAATAAGGTGTTTGTGTGAGTAACACCAAGTTATGTAATGTTATGTATTAATATACCAGCAACATTCCTGTGAATTCTAATTTCCCAAGGTGCTTTCGTTGATGATATGATATAGTTTGAAATCAAATCAATAATCTACATTAAATCATATCAGTAACATTGATTATGACAGTGCAGAACAATATTGAAGAAATTACTAGCAGGTAAACGTTTATTTTTTGTCAGTTGATCCATTTGTACGACACTAGAAAACAAAATTGTTGCTATTTCCTTTTCTTTGTCTTCATCATAGATGGGGTTTTGTTGCAAATTTTACCTAATGCATTATGATTCAACTAATATACTGAAATTGAAAACGATAAATTTGGTCTCAAGCTATTATACTGTGCGCTATTACGGGTAGGAATATAAATGGATATCCATGAGACGGATTCTATAACATGTGTCTCGTTTGATAAATATGATATTTATATTTGTCTCATATTCATTTAGATATCTGTTAAACGAATAATCTGCGGATTTTACGGTATCCGTGTGTATATATATATATATATATATATATATATATATATATATATATATATATATATATATATATATATATATATATATATATATATATATATATATATATATATATATATATATATATATATATATATATATATATATATATATATATATATATATATATATATATATATATATATATATAACTTCTTTTAAAGAAATAATTATTATCACATAATATTCATACAATTCGGTTTTAATTTAACAATAAAATTTTATCAAACTAATTTTTTTATTCACCAAAACATAATTAGATCCAAATATAATATCCCTATATTTCATTTTTACCAAACAAATAAAAATATTGTGATTATGAGTTATGTTAAAAAAGCGGACGACAGAGGAGTAGGAATGACAACACTGATCCGAAAGAGGAATGATGATACTGATCCAACAGAGGAATGACGTGACGACACTAGTTAGTTGGATTGTGAAATTGTTGAAATGTGGTATGAAGTATTAAAGAGCTTAAATATGAAATGACTAATAAAATTTGAATGAAATTATATATATATATATATATATATATATATATATATATATATATATATATATATATATATATATATATATATATATATATATATATATATATATATATATATATATATATATATATATATATATATATATATATATATATAAGACATAATAAACTAAAAATATTTCAATGATTTTTATAATTTATTAACGGATATGGATATACTAGGGCACGAATATAATTAAACTCGTATTCATATCCATTAACAAATAAATATTTAAATATATATTTATTTTATGCGTGAATATCCATTAACTCACCCACATAATATTTGTGACAGATTTTATCCACGGGTACGGATCTTTTTGCCATCTCTAATTACGGGCGGCTAAGCATTATCCTGTGTCCAAAGGTAGCTTTATGGAAAATCTACCTTACATAAAATCTACCTTGAGTTTAGACGGATCAAAAAAGTCCAATATAACAAAGTCTTAATATTTAGGTCGCTCGGTCCCTTTTTCTTAGACCCCCAACTACATAAATATTCTTTTTTCTTTTATTTTTAAGCACTCTCATACTTTTGTTTTTTTATGAAGCCTAAGTAAAAGGCTCAAAATCTAATAAATTTGAAACAAAATATTTTTTGTTTTTTTAATTATTTTTTTAAAAAATAAATATATTTGAAAATTAATTTTAAAAATAACTTTTCTTTCGAACTAAAAGTCACTAGATTCATTAAGGTATAATTAGTCACTGAGTTCTTTAACTTTGTTCCCTAAACTAAAAAACGTTACATAATAATCATTTAACTTAAGTTCTGTTAAATCATTTAGTCCTTTCCGTTAGTTTGTGTCAGAAAAAGTTAGCATTGTGTGAACTGACATGCCAAGTAAGCAATTTTAATTCTACATCAGCACATGGTTATATTATGTTACATAGGATTCCATTTGCAGCTTCAGTCTTCTTCCATTTACAGCTTCAATCGCCTTTCCATATTTCCAACTTCTTTCATCTTCTTCTTAAAATCAGGGTTAAATCTTTTTCTTTCATATTCCTTCTACCATCTTTCATTTTCATCTCTAAATTAGGGAATTAGAATTCAATGTCAAAGATTGCAATCAATGCCTCAACTTCAAACAACCAAAGTTATGGTAAATTTGGATCTGTGATTCGTAGAAACAAGAGAATTGAGTGTTTTTGCCAAGATGAAAGTGTTCTTAGAACACTGAATGATGTGAACAGTGTCAACAAGGGGAGAAAATTTTGGGATTGTAGAAATTACAGAAATCACATTGAAAAGGGTTGTAATTTCTTCAAGTGGTTAGGTGATGAGTTTGTTTATGAAAGGGGTTTGAAGCTTGAAAGACAAAAGAAGAAAATTAATAAATTGAATAATTAAGTTATCTACACTAGAGGGTCACTGAAAATGTTCATTGTGGTTGGGATTGTAATCTTAGGGTTGAGCCTTGTGTTTGTAACAATGTATTTTAATTAGTTTTAGGGTAGTTCAAAGTTATGTTTTCACATTTTTAATGTTTTGTTAAGTTTGTTTAATGAATAATGTATTGTTATGTTGGTTCAATGAATAATGTATGTGTGCATTTTAACATAACTATATGTGCTACATTAATGGTACAATTTTGTGAGACCTAACTGGTACGAATTTGTCTCAATATTCAACCTGTAAAAAACGCAGCCCAAGGACCAATATTTATGGAAACAAACAGTAATATAATTTGGAATTATAAGTCATTCTAACTTTTATTAACATATTCAAATTTTGATACATAACAGATTCAATAACAAAATGTCATTATAAGGCATTAATATGACATTCTAAAATGTGGTACAACTACAAAACAGACAGTCCATTGTAAATTAGACAAAATGTGCCTTACACAATGACATTCAAAAATTTGCCTTACAAAAACAAAAGAGTCTGGCCACTAAAAGGCATTACAAAATCTAAGTAGACATAATAACAATGATTAAGGTTGGCTTGAAATAGGCTTGCCACCCTTATGAAGTTTTTTTTTAGTTCAGGATGGTGGTTGACTTGTAACAATAGGTGTTGGTGGTTGACTTGTAACAACTTGTGGTGGTGGCTGATTTGTAACAACAGGTGGTGATGGTTGACTTGTAACGGCTTGTGGTGGTGGCTGACTTGTCGCTTCTTGTACCTGACTTGAATCAACTGTTGTTGGTGACTGTGTTATTGCTTCTTGTACTTGACTTTGGGGAGCTTGTGATTGTGGTAGTTTATAAATGGCCTTGTTGTGACCATCATTGTGGCAACGACTACACTTGATACCATGCCTTGCCCTCTTCATGTGTGTCCCATCCCTCACCATTTCTCCAGCTTCCTTATTCCTTTTTTTCTTTGGCCTTCCAGGCCGCCTCTTTATTGGTGGTGGTTAAAGATTAACAACATTAGTCTTTTCCCACAAGGTTTCCCCATTAAGTGGATATATAAAATGTGCATAGCAAGCAGCATATTGTTCCTTCTTGTAACATTTAGGTACAAAGTCATCAATCTCGAAATGTTGATCCTTCATGCAAGACATTGCATTACAGCAAGGAAGTCCAGTCAGTATCATATTATACATGGGTATTCTTTCTTGTAAAGGTTGACAGCATATTTTTCTCCATTGAGTGAAGTATGCCTTACCTCATAGTCATATTCACCTGCACGCATGTAAACAAGTAACCAGTTTAATATTTATCTATGTAAGCAGTTAGCCATTTTAAATAATATTCAACAAATCAACCATGTTACCTCATAATTCAATGATTAATTTTCTGTGACTCTCTTTCCATCCTCTTCTTGATGTTAGGTAGTATGATGCCATCGTATTTGGTACTCTTTTTCCTATTGGATTCTCATATTTGCATTAGATATATTCTAATTTCTTCAAGCATTGTCACAATGGGCTTGGATCTAGCAGCTACAAACACATCATTAAAGGCCTCTGACATATTGTTAACCAAAGTGTCACAACCTGAACTTGGCTGGAACCTTGATTTGCTCTAGAATCTTGGTGGAATTTTGATGAGATGTTTGAAGGCCTCTTCATTAACTCCTTTTATTTCAAGTATTATTTTCTTCCAAGCTTTAACATAACTTGCACATGCATCCCTCCACATCAATTCCTTTAATTTCAGGCCAGGGAACTTCTTCCTGAAGTTGCTATATAAATGTCTGCAATATAAAGTAAGTGTAAACCAACTAGGTCATGCAAGTAATTCATAAGAACTAAGTATGTCATATTTAACATGTAAGTAAACATAATACCTAACGCAGAATCTCTGGTCAACATTACCAAGTAATTCATCAAGAGCTGGCAGTAAACCCTGCATTCATAATTAAGTAAGATTGATGGTGAAAATAAAACAATTGGCTAACAGTTAAAATTCAAGGTGAGAGTTTAAAACCTTTTGTTGATCACTAATTAAGGTATAGGTTATGCACAACCTAACTCCTCCCAAATCAGGTATCAATGACTCTAGAAACCAGGTCCATGAGTCTTTAGTTTCACCCTTAACAACAACATATGCAATTTGTAGCATTTAGTCATTTGAGTCCCTCCCAATAGTATCTAGTATTTGTCCTCCATAGTATCCCTTTAAGAAACAACCATTTAATCCTATAATAGGCATGTACTTTAAAAAAAATTGTCGTTGCAAGCTTTGAGACATACATACATCCTTTGAAAGTGAGGATTCAATTGACTAGATTTTTCACTGCTTTCCCTTTGAACAGGTTGACTTGTAATATTCACAGTTGATCCTGGGTTTGCCCTCAAGAGTTCATTAATATCTCTCCATCAATACCTATATCATTTTCTGAGTCTTCAAAATTAACATTCAAAGCACTGTCATCAATTCCATCTTCTGGCACATCTCCTTGGTTACAGATAACTACCTCATCTTGTTCTTAGTTACAGTTCAGTCCTTCATTGTTTTCATCTACTTCAACATTCATCCATACACCCATATTTTCCTCAATTTCACATATGATCCCCACATCATCCATATTGTTATAGTTTGTCTCCTCTTGATCCACATTCTCCTCAATTTCACAGTTTGTCTCCATCTTCTTAGCACATGTCAATTTCGATTTGCTAAATAAAGTAGTCTCTAAGGATCTAGTAGTCAGCCTACCCAAAATCAAAATTTTAAAACATCACTTATGTGATGCATGCCAAATGGAGAAGCAAACAAGAATCTCGTTTAAATATAAAAATGTTGTGTCTACAATGAGACCTCTTGAACTCCTCCATATAGACCTATTTGGACCATCTAGGATTAAAAGGTTAGGTGGTAATTACTATGGTTTTGTGATAGTAGATGACTACTCTAGGTTTTGTTGGACTATTTTCTTAGCAAGCAAGAGTGATACGTTTTTAGCTTTTGAGAAATGTTCCAAGCTCTCTCAAAACAAATTAAATACAAGCATTGTTACAATCCGAAGCGATCATGGAGGTGAATTTAAAAATCACCTCTTTGAAGAATTTTGTGATAAGCATGGAATTGGTCATAATTTTTTACTCCACATACTCCTCAATAAAATGGAGTAGTGGAACGTAAAAATCGCATGTTGGAAGAACTTGGAAGAACTATGATCAATGAAAGTAACCTTCCTAAATATTTTTGAATAGGGTGCTTATTCGTTCGATTCTCAAAATAACTCCATATAAGCTTTTAAAAGAAAGGAGGTCTAATGTATCACATCTTCATGTTTTTGGTTGTAAGTGTTTTGTGTTGAATAATGGTAAGGAGAACCTTGACAAGTTTGATTCAAAGGCCGATGAAGTTATCTTTCTTGGATACTTTCAAACTAGTAAGGCATATAGGATATTTAATAAAAGGTTACTTACTGTAGAAAAATTCATACATGTTACTTTTGATGAATCTTATCCGAAAAATGTCGAAAAATGTATTTCTTTTCATGGTGCAGGTGTATCTTCAAAAGACGTACTCAAAGACACTAAAAAAGGGTCTGATCAACCTGAATCGGTGAAAGTTGAGGAGGAGGAAGATCAAAACTCTGAAGAGATTGAGGAGGTTTATCCAATTAGCAACGATGACCTTCCTCTAGCTTGGAAATATTCTAAGGATCATCCCATCGATAAAATTCTTGGAGACATTTCAAAGGGAGTAACTACGAGATCCAAGCTAAGTAACTTTTGTTATCACTTTGCTTTCGTCTCTCAAATTGAGCCTAAAAACTCCAAAGAGGCCTTACTCGACGAAAATTGGTTTTTAGAAATGCAAGATGAGTTAAATCAATTTAAAAGAAATGAGGTTTGGGACCTTGTCCCCCCTCCGCGAGATCATCGAGTGATTGATATTAGATAGATATTTAGGAACAACCTTGACGAAAACAGAGTTATAACTAGAAACACGGTGCGCCTAATGGCGCGACACTATAACCAATAGGAGGGCATAGACTATGAGGAAACTTATGCTCTCGTTTCCCGCCTTGATATTATATGCCTATTGCTTGCCTATGCGTGTTCCGAGAACTTCAAACTATACCAAATGGATGTTAAGAGTGATTTTCTGAATGGATACATTAATGAAGAGGTCTATGTATCTCAACCTCCTAGTTTTGAAAGTCATGAGTATCCTAACTATATTTATAAGCTTAAGTGTGCTTTGTACGGTCTTAAGCAAGCCCTTAGGGCTTGGTACGAGCGTCTTAGCAAATTTTTACTAGATCAAGGATTTTCACGAGGGAAGGTCGATACTACCCTCTTTATTAAGCGTCGAGGAAAACATTCGATATTAGTACAAGTTTATGTAGATGATATTATATTTGGATCTACTAACATGCATTTGGTCAAGGAATTTTCTAAGTTGATGCAGGGTGAGTTTGAGTTGAGCATGATGGGGGAGCTAAACTACTTCCTCGGACTTCAAATCAAACAACTCGAAGAAGGAACATTCGTGAGCCAAACGAAATACTGCAATGAGCTACTCAAGTGCTTCGATATGGCTAACTATAAAGCAATCGACACTCCAATGCCTACAGGTGTAAACGTGGACCGAGACAAAAAATTTAAGGTCGTAAATGTAAAAAGGTACCGAGGTATGATAGGTTCTCTCCTCTATCTCACTGCATCTCGTCCAAATATCATGTTTAGTGTATGTATGTGTGCTAGGTATCAATCATGCCCCAAGGAATCACATTTAAAGGCCGTTAAGCGCATACTTAGATACCTATGTGGTACTCCTAAGTATGGGCTTTGGTTTTCCAAGGGAAGTGATTTCTCTTTGGTTGGATATTCTGATTCTGACTTTGTCGGTTGCAAATTGGATAGGAAAATCACTAGTGGCACTTATCATTTCTTCTCAAATTCCTTAGTGAGTTGGCATAGAAAAAAGAAAATTTCCATTGCTTTATCAACAGTCGAGGCAGAGTACGTTGCAGTCGGTAGTTATTATGCCCAAATCTTGTGGCTCAAGCAACAATTACTCGCATTTAATGTTAAACTTGAACGTATTCTCATTTTGTGTGACAATACAAGCGTCATAAATTTAACCAAAAATCTTGTACTACATTTACGCATAAAATATATTGAATCAACCATCATTTCCTTAGGGATCATGTTGAGAAAGGTGATGTCGTATTCGAGCATGTTGATAGCAAGAATCAACTTGCCAACATTTTCACAAAACCACTTGCAATAGAACCCTTCTTTAACATTCATAGGGAACTCGGCGTTCTCGATATCTCGGATCATGTTTAATTTGAATATTTTCATGCTCTATACCTGTGCTTGTTTATATTTTGACTAACCACATTAATAAGTGCAATTTATGTGAGGGCATACATCATTTATCATTATTGGAGGTAATATTGTTCCTATCTATTTGACTTGTCTTGATCATACATGTATGACATTGTACTATAATATGTGTCATCTTGATGTTTATTCTATTGTTTGGACCAATTCTAATCCATTTCTATGTTTGAATTATGCGTTGGATTGCTATTTATTCTAAGTGATGCATACATAACTTGAATTTTGCAATTTTTATATGTTTGCATTGCATGCATCGACTCAAACAGGGCATAGGTCGACTCATGCTTTTTGTATTTCAACATATTTTGCTTCAGGTCAGCACAGGTCGACCCATACTGTAATGATTTCAATTTGTGAAATTTTGGCTTGCATGCGTCGATGCATCCTAGGTTTAAGTCGACCCATCGCTGCGAAATGCGGAATTTTTCTTGGAAATTGAAGCGTTTCATATTTTCTTGGGATAACTAGAGTCATTCAATGCATTGTCCCATTTCAAATTTCTTATTATCATTGGCATCTCTTCATCTTTGTTCTCCTCTCTTTCACAAAATCTCTACAAACCCTAAAAACCCACTTCCTAAAACTTCATCAAATCAGAAAACTTTTAGTCCACAAACGCTTTCAATTGGGTTTTTCTTCATCAATATAAACTTGTGCACTGTTCGTCTATCACAAAATCATAACTTCAATGGCTTCTACAAGAGCAACTGGGAAAAGGACCACTTGAGGCTCAACTTCTCAGGCAGGTACTTCACAAACTTGTTCAAACATTCTGGTAAATGTTCATTCCTTACTCTCTAATGAACTAGCTGAATCCTATTAGAAGAATTTTAGCAAGAAATCAATTGTCAAGCAATTTTTGTATTATCCAAAAATGGATGAACACATGCACATTCAAGAAATTATTGAATTTCTAGATTTTCAAGAGTTTTATCCATTCTTAGAGTGTGACATAAAATATAATGAGGACTTGGTCAGATTGTTCTATACGGGTGTACATGGTAAGTTCGTTGATTATGGTTTTGGTTATAAGATAGGTGGTAACATCCTTAAGGTAGATGTCGATACTTAGAAAGATGTATTTAACATGTGTCTACGATTGTCTCTTAATATCAAAATAATTGTTACCAAATTGGCTCTGGGCTATGAGTTCAAGACTACTTTGAATTCTATGTTGAATGATCCATATTTTGATGACATTGTCGCTAGTGAATTGTTTCCTAAATCTGTTACTACTGGTTGTTTGAAACCAATTGAAAGGATTCTCCAATGGATTTTATTCCACATTCTCCATCCCAAGAAGGGATGGTATTCTCCTGTTAACCAAGCAGAGGTACACTTGGTTTATGTGCTGAAAAATAAGATAAAAGTTCATTGGCAACATTATATCTCTAGCAGGATTTTTGCTCTGAGGGATTTTGGTCGAGGTACTGCCCTATGCTATGCCTCTTTCATTCAAAGCATTCAATAAGGATAACATTGGTGTTCAAGTTATTTTGTACGTCTCTTTGGCGAATGATTAAGAATTTATTCAAAAGACCCTAACTTTGATGGGTTACATATGGGATCGCTAAGAGAATCGGTATAGGTTCAAGATAAAAGCTTCAGGTTCAAGAGTTCAGGATTCTGGTGATGATGAGGATGAGGAAGAAGAGGATGAGGAAATTCATCGTATGGAGGAGGATGATCAACTTCCTGATAGTAATTGGTTAGATGATTCACCTGGACATGATCCCTATGTTAATTAAGGCTGGGGAG